ATTCAAATGTTTGGGGAGGCACACATCCTACTACAGAAGGCCTTTATAATTAGAAATGATAAAGTTCTTATTTTTAACACACTTACAATAAATGAGACTCAGCCTGTCACCGTGCCATTGCTTATTTTCTTTATAGAATTTTCCACATCATGACATTATCTTGTTTATTTTTGTGATATTTGTGGTTTCCATTTCTCCCACTGCCCAAAAGTTCCAGGAGTGTTTGACCTTGCCTATCCTTCTTTGACTGACCAGTTTGTTCAGCAGCACCTAGCACAATGCCTGATATATGGAGGTGCTTGTTACTAGTTATTAAATTCATGAGCAGATGAATTAACTAAAATGTAAAGTAATAGAGACATTACTTAATTTCTCTGAAACACAGCTTTCTTGTCTATAAAACTTGGATTAGTTGAACTTAATCCAAAAATTATTGAGATTATAATTTTAAAAGTATCAAATTATATTAATTCATTATACAATAAACAATATATGCTTAATCTGTGTTAGTTCATTTACTTTTATCTTTGAGCAGCGTACTACCAAGGAAAGTTGTTATCCAGAACTCAGACAACTTGCATAACCCAGGTAATTCCATTGTGTACTTTGAATTACATAATGGACCATAATTTGTCAAATGCTTGACAACTTGCCACCTCAGGTGCTACCTTCCTTATTCCTTTCATTTCAGTACAGAGCTCCATATGTTATACTTCTATATAAGAGTAAAAAAAAAATACGATAGCGCAGGATTAAATACATTAAAATTGTAAAGTTTACTAAAGTAACATTGATGCATCTAAAAAGTGTTTGGCGTTCAATCCCCTTATTTTACCATCAGGAAACAGGCCCAGTGTTGAGTTGAAAGACCTTGAGATCATCTGACTGCAAAAATAGAACAGATGTGCTACCGTTAGTCAATCACTCCAGAACTTTGACACTACGAATGATCACGCCACTTTCCTGGAGAGCTTAAACTTACTCCTAAACCATTCTCAATATCCAGGGTTCCATTTTGATAGCCCTTTTCAATTGATCAGAGTTAGCATGCCAAGTGAAATCCATGTACAATCACATCTTGTCTAAACCTCTCACTTAGATTAGGTGTATATAGGTTACTGAATAATATCTAAAATGAAACACAGGACTTGAAATCTGATTTTTTTTTACTTCAAATCTACTGATCCTCCTTTTGAAAAAAATCAAATTCATTTTACTTACGGGATTTTTATTTCTTCAAGATAAATAACGAGTCATTACAAAATAAATACAGATTTCAAATGATGAAATGTAAAAGGAAATGTATATTCTTTTAATTTTTTAATTAGAAGTTTCAATTCTTATTTATGAATTTTTTTCTATTAGACTTTTGGTTTGAGGTAGTAACTTATTTATTTTTCCAGACTTTCAGCCTACTTTTAATTATTAACTTCATTTTCTGTGCTGTGCATTCAAAACTTAATGGAATGTCATTGAATCAGCTATAAATTCAAGATGATCTATAAAATCTAATTTAGTAATTCAGTTGACCCAATGAAACAAAGTATTATGTATTTCTAGAATTTTAGCTATGTCTTTCTTTGACTTTATATTTCCTTAAATAATTTTGAAAGGTAATAGGTGACTCTCTTTATGATGTCTCAAAGGCCTTAGTTGTGGTGTCCAGTGAATTCAGAATTGTGTAGCAAATTGTAAACAGTAGGAAAGTACTGGGTTTATCATTTTCTTAAAATTTAAATAGTATAGAGTTTTACCAAGACTTTTTATTGGCAGTACTTTTCAAATTGTTATTCTCTTACATTGCACGATCAACTCATCTATTGACATTATTATATAATGCACAAAAAATTGTATAACAAGAGGAAGTAGATGCATTTTTGGAAAAATATCCGACTAGTTCACAAATGCTTTGGATCCACTCTATTTTGATGTTTTACGCATCTTGGTATTTTATGCATATTTTAAGGATTCATAATTATCAATCATTTGAGGTTTTCATGCTTTACAATGCTCTAAACAATCCTGTAATATCTTCTGTAACTGTTAAGTAAATAGATAAAAACAATAAAATTGTTAATGAATCTAATAATTTTAATAAAATTAATTTTAATAATGTTAAAATTTTAATAAAATTAACACATTGTGTTTTCTTCATCCTTGAATAATTTGACAAGAATGACTTTTAGATTTAACATAAGGAAACATTTTATATGTTATGAATATATGGTGTATATGTTCTCAAATGTTGAGAACGATATATCTATACCATTTCCCCTTAAATCTTTGACTTATAGGAAACTTAAACATACATGTAATATTCAACACACTAGTCATATTGTTTAACCTTTTTGTTACTTCTGTCTCCTCTATGGTTTTTCTTTAATATTTCTGTCTTACTCCATATTGTAAGAAAACTTATATCCTTCTGGAAACAGCTGTATAGAGAAAATAAATAACTTAGAAAATATGGCTAGATCTACTAAAAATATCTGCAAAACTAATTTGATGTAATATGTAGTTGTAGCTTATAAAATATACTAAGCATTATTTTTGGACCAAGCCAGTTTACTCATTTTATCTTCATGGTTTATATGCACCACTTAAAACAATTAGTGATTTGGGCATGTTTATGAGAAAATGTTTAGTATGTATTTATAAGCTGCACTTAAATATTTTATTTTTCTGACATAGCCTTTCTCTTTTTTGTATCAGTGGTGTTTCTTGGAGTGATGAAAAAACTAGGGGTTCAATTTGTATTTTAAATAAATCAAGTGATACCTTTTTTAGTTAGAATAATTTTATTAGCTCAATATGTTAACTAAAAAAAATTAGTGAGTACTATAAAATGAATATTGCTCCATTACCATAAAACATGCTTTCATGGAAAGTAATAATTCTTACTAAGAGGGAAAGAGAAATGTGAAAAAATACCTTCGCTTCAAATTTTGTCATGTGACCTGCCCGAAGAAGGTAAGCTTCTACCTAGTGATTAGAAGAAGTTACAGGAACATTTAAAATTCACACAGGTGCTACTTTCTGGATCAGTTATTTTAGTGATACACCAATCATGGTGATAGTATTTTAGTGATACACCAGTTGATGAAAACATCAATATAATATTGCATTGGATTACCTGGCTGAATACCCATTCCCAACCTTCGTTCTCCATAGTCCCATGTGAAATAATAAGAATGTATATATCAGTCCCTGTCCCTATAAGTAGGGATTGTAGGAGAAATTTTCATTTTCATATTTGGTCTTTAAGCCAGTTCCTGACACAGAACTCCTAAGACCTTGGTAATTTCCTGAGTGATAGTAGTGTCTTTTGTTCAAATGAGGTGCCTCTTTGTGGGATCCTGGAAGGAAGCTGGTCACCAGGAAGACCAAGCCATGACTAGAAGCTTGGGACTGACAGCCTCACTTTCCAATTTCTAGCAGGAGGTGGGGTTGGGGGGGTTGGAGTATATAATTAATCATTCCTACGTGATGCAGCCTCCATAAAAATTCCAGAACTGTGAGGTTCAGAGCTCCTGGGTTGATGAACACATCCCTGTGCTGTGAGAGTGACAAGCCCCAACTCCCTGCCCTCTGGACCCTTGTAAACTCCAGCCTACCTGCCTTTTCATCTGGCTGTTCATTTGTACCCTTCAAAATACTCATACTCGTAATAAATCAGCAGTAGGAAATAAGCCGTTTTCCCCAGTTCTGTGAGTCCATCTAGCAAATTATCAAACCCAAGAAGGGGTCATGGGATTTGTAGCCCATTCGGACAGAAATTGTGGGTAACCTGGGGTCCTGTTACTTGTGACCGGGGTCTGCAAAAGGGGGAAATCTGTGGGACTGAGCCCTTAACCTATGGCATCAGTGCTAATTTCAGTGGGCATTGAAATTAAATAGTAGGATATGCAGCTAGCACAGAAGTATTGGTTATTGTGGGGGAAAACTATACATCTGATCATGGTGTTGAGTGTGGGTAGAGAAAAGAAAACTGCTTTTTCCTTATTTGCCCCACTATTAAGAGAAAAGAGATTATCAAATTCAGGCATTACTACGGTTGGTAAATGGCCTAAGAATCTGCTGGAGATAAATATTCAAGTATTTGGTTGCACACTTATCCAAACCATCCAAAACTTTCTTGGAAATTAAATAAAGTCATAGAATAGATATGCTTCCCTGAGCTGAAAGCAATCATTTGTGTTCTGTTTAGATTTAACATTTGGAAGTCTTCATGAGGAATGTAAATGGTTCTGTTGTTGTTTGTAACTAATATCTGGAACAGTGTGTAGAGATACTTCAACAGCAAAGAATGAAAGCTAATAGTGACTCTTTGGGGGGAAAAAACCTTCCTGTGAATATTGTTTTTGTTTTTGTTTTGGAAGCAATGTGGCACAATGTCGCTTTCATGTATGTACAATGTTGGACTCGATGTATTGCTAAAAGCTAACAAAGTCCATACCATTGCCTCAAGTCCTCCTGGATTGAGAGATAGTGAATATAACAAGGGAACGAAGAAATACACCAAATAAGTAATGATTAGCATGTGTTTATATTATTAGATATATATTATATTATATTCACCATTGCATAGATGTCTATTTTTGTGGGTAATTTGATTATGTATATGTAGGGGTGTAAGTTTGTGCACATAGTAGTTTTTTTGGTCCTATCCCAAAAAATCAAATCAGAGTGTCTCTAGAATGAATAAACTATTAGCTAATCGTTTGATAAACTGGTGATTTTATCGTGAACAATTCTTCAGTTTTATTGTTCATGTATTTAAAAGGGACAATACGCCCAGGTTTTCATAAGAGAGGCATTATATCCAGTATAAATATATGGATTAAGCTTAATATTTTTAAAACATACATCTTAATATAATAGATTTTTAAAACACAGAAATGAAAACGTCTCTACTCACTAATACTCATACCCCTCTTTGAACTATTTTTAAAAACTCAATAAAATAAATGAAATGATAGCATGTAAGTTTTTATCCTCTTTGTTTTGACTATCACATTTAATCATGTTTACATAGTAGCACCAAAATTAGGACAAATTACAAGAATCACAGGGGAGATCTTAAATTATATGAGCTCATTGCATGCTTCAAAAGGTCTCATGTCAAAGAAAAAAAGGTTTCCAACTGCCAAAACTTTGCTGCATTTTTCTCTCCCCCAAAATATACCCCAATTAAGTTCAATCTAAACAAAAGATACAATAGACTGATTTTTGAATAGATATGTTATCTACAGTTTATAGGACAGACAGTCCGTTTAAATAGAAAAAGTGATTTTTACATAAAGCAAGATAGAATACAAAAGCACAGCTTTTGTAATTTTGGTAATATTGCAATTTTACAAACATGTTGCATAGTATGTGTAAGAAAATAGTTCCATTTTTCATATATCTATATATACAAGAAAACATTTACATGAAAGTACAAAACAAAATAAATGAATAGTGGACCTGATTTAAAGAATTGTATAAATAACGAGACACTCAAACTCCAAATTACACATCTCCATTATTAATGAATGTCCTTGTCTATCTTTAACCCTGTTTGGCTTTTATTTATAAATATTCAAACAAATGAGATATTGACTGAAAAAGACAAAAAAGAACTACAGTTCATTATACCTCATTTCATTTAATGGTTTTCATTGGCTTTCTCAAAATGCAGAGCCACCTCAGTTAACAATTAAAAAATAGCCCTCTGGTTCTACAAGTATTTCAAATTAATTTTATTCTCCAAATAATGTTCAGCAAGTAGTGAAAGTTTAAACTCAGCTGAGTAGATCCATGCTGGGCCCATTTTGGGATATGGTCTTTGTGTATAGGTTTTATGAATACTAAGGAGTTTGTTATGCATGTATAAAAGAAAAGTGGACCACACTAATGATGTTTCCCTTCTGAAACAAAAGCATCTCTTAATTTCTACAGCTCAGAATCCTCCAAGAAGGATGTTAACTACCTTATAATTACAAGCCCCCCTATTCATTTGAATATATTACTAGGAGCAGCAATGTTTTCGAGCTAAATACAGTAGAAATCCCATTCTTTGGTCTTTGACATTTAAACAACTAATAAATTGCAGTATAAAACAACATTAACAATAGTGTTCAATTAAGTTATCAATTAGTTTACGATTATTTAAAATGAATACAAATGCAATTTTCCTTTGTGATAATGATATTTTGCAGTATTCATTACTGTAACATACACCAGTACATACAGCAAATAATTTCTCCATATGTCATTAAATATGATCACATGAACAATTCTTATTAGACCACAGATACTTGAAGAATTAGGTGACAAGACCGCTGTCATATAAAACTCAAATATGAATTTGGCTTTGATGGTTTTTACAGAAAATTTGGCCATTAAATACTTTCAATGATTTTAATAATTTGACATTATTATATTGACATTATGTGCTATGAAATATAACACTCCTATGCCTTAGACACTCTCCAGGCTATTCCTGCCTCATACAGAGATACCATGTTTGCAGTGAAACAATTTATTAGAAGTTTTATTGTATCAAATGCTATTTTTGTAAAATGAAGCATTCTGTGATTGAGTCATTCAGATAGAATATGCAGAAATTTTGAATGGAATAAAACGTTATAAACAGTTTAGCAATTAACCTCTGTGATCACATTATCATTTCTTCAAAAGATCACTGCTTTTTAGCTTTATGGAAGTAATAACAAATCAACAGAATGTTTATATTTGGTTAATATTTCTATTTCCTAAACAGTCACTTTGAATAAGACCTAAATGCTTTATTTTCCTTTAGAACGTCAACCATATTACTGAATCCTGTTAACCAAGCATGACTTTTCCAAAGGAACCTTAACGTTCAAATGGTCAGAGTATAAAAGGGAGTATAAAAAAGAGCAGAGGAAGTAGCATGCCAAAAAGATTTGCATTTCAACATTTATAAGTGACTTTTTAAGGTGCAGAAGGAGATCACAAATGCTAGTTCAGATATGGCTACTTAACCTAAGATTTATGAGTACTTCCTTAAATGAATCAGAAAAATTTAAAAATGAATGTGACTAAAGGAAATGTCTAGTTTGATATTATCCATCTCACAGATAATTGAACTGTGACCAACGTAATTAAATATGTGTCTTAAGTAGGTAAGTTCACATGACTAGCCAGGGGCAGAACTAGAACTGGATTTGCTGGCTCCATTTTCCTAGATTTGAAGTACTGTAATCTGAGATTCCCAAGTTGCAGTAAAATTTGAAGTGTATAATTGTCTTAAACTCTTAGATAATTATGACAAATTATAAAGCATATCATTCACAATAAAATACATATATTTTAGACATATATATGTGTGTATGTGTGTGTATGACTAATAAGTACCGGATAGAAATTTTGGAAATGTTGAACAAGAGAAGTAGGAAATTTGGAAGTTTTTGTTGCTCTTGCTGTTTTTTTGAAGTTTTTAATTGAAATCTTCTGAAAAAGAAAAGAATAATGTGTCTTCTTTGCATCTTTCCTTTTGATCCCCCAAACCTGAATTCAAATACATCTCGGTTTATCCATTCCCGGCAAATAACTTAAATGCTAGCAGTACTACCAGCCTCTTTTTCTTCCTCCCTTTGTTCCTTCCTAGACTACACTGAGTATGAAGTTATTAAGATATGGGTAATAAGCTTAGTCACATCCATGTAGTACACTATAAAGGATTCATTTTTCTCAGTGCCATTTGGGGAAGATGAAATTTATATCATATAAGTAAACTGCATTATATTTTTACATATTGTAACATAAAGATGGTACTGGGAAAACAATCTGTTTGGGTAGTGTGCAATTAAGGGGCCACTGTATTTTTTTTTAATGCTTTTTTGTGTTTGAATGAGGAAAACAAGGACATTTGGGGCCATTCTTCTAAGCCTTCACCATAGGCTTGATCTCTCTGAGGCAGGGATCTTCTCTTAGGTTCAGAAATCTGAAACAGCGAGTCAAATAACTTAAAGCAATTACTTGGTGTTGAATAGGAAAACCATCGCTATCACTATTTTGTCTGCTGTACTGAATAGATTTGTTACATCATCTGGATACAGTCTAAAGCTCTCAAGCTTGTAAGTTAGTTTTGAATTGTGTCTATACTTTTCAGAATACATTTGAATTAAAAATGTGACAGCCCCTCACTGGAATTGGTTTTTACATTTTTTTCATCTTTTCTCCTCTTATGACATATAATTTAAATTTTCAGTTTTCTCTTTTGCCCTCTGTAATATTTGTACTTGAAATTAGAACATGTTGGAATAGAAAGGAACCCCAAGAGACTATTTTATTCAATACTCTTGCTGTAAAGTTGAGTAAACTGAAGCCTGGAGAGATTCTCAAACTGCCTAAAACAGCTCAATTGATTAGAAGACAGCTGAGATTAGAAACAAGGCCAGTTCCTACTCAAAAGAATTATTCCCATTTGACTTAGAAAGTTTCTAATGATTTTAATAGAAGGATGATTAGAACTTGATTATGTCTTAAATTACTACATAATGTTTTCCCTAAAAGTCCATAATATAGTGATTAGCACACATAATTTCTCAACATTTCTTGTATTATACTTTATTTCGCAAAGACCAATGTGAGATTTCTTAAATTCTCTTATTTTAATATAAACTCTTGTGTTATCAGATAACTTTGTAAGCAATTGTATATCATAATTCTTATTTCAATATTGATTTTAAAACTTATATAATAACACCCAAATATAAGCCACATTTTATTTTAAAAATAATAAAAGTAAATTAGCCTTTGAACCCTTTTGCTGAGTACAGTGGACACGAGCTTTTTCAGTTATTTGATATGCTAGGTTATGCAAACAAGGTAATTCTGGTCAAATGTTTCACTTTTCTTCTTGCATTGCCAATATTTCTACTTTCACTAACCACATCTTTTGCAACAAGTTCTAATCTCCCAGTTCACTCTGAGCTGTAAAGACCTGAACTCCAAAGATTCTACAGCCGTTAATCCCCAAAAGGAAGTTTCAACACAACTGTTGATAGTGTGCATGCGGGAGAAAAAAGTTGATTGACATGTGAAAATTCAGAACTTACCTTATAGTAATTAAGTCATCTTCCCATAATAGGAAATATTTAATACAGTTTTACATTCTTTGACTCTGTAAGTTTCAAGAATTTGAGTTAAGGGGTATTGTGATAAATGAATCTTCAATATTCTGCAGTTGTTTACTAAGAGGTCATATACAAAAATAAGCATTGGAAAATGAAAAGAACTAGAATTTTTGAGGTCCATGTAGTTTAAGAATCTAATAAAAGTAAATACATGTTAACAGCTGAATAGAAATGGGAGTAAATTCCCTAAAATATGAATCTAGTGAAGTAAACACATTTTCAATGTTTATTAGCATTTGTCATTTTTACTGTTTAGTCAAGAAATTTTAAGTTAACTTCTAACTTCTTTAAATCCTAACCTCCAGTAAAAAAGAAATGGAGAATAATTCTGAAGATGATACCCCAATGGAAAGTGAATTTATTCTCAACATTATGCGTCACATTAGTATTATTTATTTAGAGGATGTCTGAATTTTAGCAGTCAGAATCAAGTGTAAAGTGAGTGGAGCAAACAAAAATTATACTCTTAAAACCTAGGTGTAAAGGATAGCAAGGATAGCATGTGAGTTTTTAAAAAATGATCTATGGATTTAATACCATCAATATGTCCTTCTTAATCCTATCTTATATTGCAGTAAATTAGATGTTTTGTTAAAAGCAAATACGTCACATGCAGTAGCCATGTAAATACTATATAAGGCCATCCAGATCTGACAAATGACATTATAATGGCATTTTGTTAATTCTGTAAAGAATATATTGCTGAGTGCTTTCAAAATTACCTAATGTACAAAATTCTAGACTTAGTAGACAAAGAGTAACAACACACTGAAATTAAAGAAACAACTCAGGGAGAGATTCTGTATTGTTTTGTTTTGTTTTGTTAAAAACCATGTATTGAATTTAATTTTTAGTAAAGCAAGCATTACATAATGCTTTAAAATTTTAAAAGTTGGGGATAAAAGTTTACATCCAAAAAGATGAATGGAAAATTGTGCTTTCAGACTGTAGAATAAGTTTTCTTACAGGGTTAACCATTTCATCTTGCCATTGGATACTGGGAATTTCATTTATGTAATGTGTATATGTGCAGTTCATATCCCGTTCCTGCAAAAATCTAAAACTGTGTGCTTCACTTCGCGTAGCAAAGGCACCTATGTTATTCTCCCTTTTGAGCAAAAGTCTTGATCCAGTTTTCCTGCTGACGACGCTTTTTCCACTGCTGTGTCAATCACACCTTCTGCGTTGAGCAGTACAGTAAATCACAAGAGAAGGTGGTGGCGAATCCCTGCTCACACTGGAAGCAGCTCTGTGGACCATTCAAAGAAGCTCTGGACTGATCACAAGGGAAACCGAGCAGAACTGTGAAGCAGACGGACAGGAACAAAAGGCTATTCTGGTGTGAGGAGAAATCAGTCACTTCAGCTCCACAAGCAGATGTTGCTACTGGACTGACAAGTGGAACCTACTCCTGCTGGAGAAAGGTACAGTTTACCACTGGGGCAGACGCAGAGTTCATACACTGTCTGCCGAGAACTTGAGGAGCTGGGTGAAGAAGATGAGAAGGAGCCAGTTGGTAGATTTCCCAGCCTGATTGTCTCTGCATTTAAAAATATCTATGGGAAAAAAGAAATTGCATTTTAATTCATTTTAGAAATCTAAATTCCTCAGAGCATCGAGTAATCTACATTCCTCCTCAACATGGTCTAACAAGGAAGTTGACACAACAAACAGTTCTATGGTTTAGCTGCCATGCTTTGTGGAACAATCAAATTACATTCCTACAGTAGAGCCCGAAAGATCTGCAGCTATCTTCTCCTTTGGGAGACAGTGCATTCTGACAGAAAGCCTTCAATCTGAAAAGCAATATCATACAATAAGCTTAAGGGGTCAACCCAGTTACTTAAACACCACAGAAAATTAATGATTTTAAGAGAGTCTCTCAATTTAATTTCTTAACCATGCCTGGTGTACAGAATATGCAAAGAAATAAGGATGTCAGTGGAGATGACAGTACTGAACAGGGGGCAATTAATTTTTAAAAACCTCAGTTTATTTTATTGGACTATATTCCCATTTATTTATATCATCTTTTTTTTTTTTTTTTTGAATACTTTAAGTTCTGGGGTACCTGTGCAGAACGTGCAGGTTTTCACATAGGTACACACGTGCCATGGTGGTTTGCTGCACCCATCAACCTGTCATCTACATTAGGTATTTCTCCTAATGCTATCCCTTCCCTAGCCCCCCACCCCCTGACAGGCCCTGGTGTGTGATGTTCCCCTCCCTGTGTCCATGTGTTCTCATTGTTCAACTCCCACTTATGACTGAGAACATGCGGTGTTTGGTTTTCTGTTCTTGTGTTAGTTTGCTGAGAATGATGGTTTCCAGCTTCATCTATGTTCCTGCAAAGGACATGAACTCATCCTTTTTTATGACTGCATAGTACTCCATGGTGTATATGTGCCACATTTTCTTTATCTAGTCTATCATTGATGGACATTTGGGTTAGTTCCAAGTCTCTGCTATTGTGAATAGTGCCACAATAAACTAACATGTGCATGTGTCTTAATAGTAGAATGATTTGTAATCCTTTGGGTATACACCCAGCAATGGGATTGCTGGGGCAAATGGTTCTAGATCCTTGAGGAATCCCTACACTGACTTCTGCAGTGGTTTAACCAATTTACACTCCCACCAACAGTGTAAGAGCATTCCTATTTCTCCACATCCTCCCTGGCATCTGTTGTTTCCTGACTTTTGAATGACTGCCATTCTAACTTGCCTGAGATGGTATCTCATTGTGGTTTTGATTTGCGTTTCTCTAATGACCAGTGATGGAGAGCATTTTTTCATGTGTCTGTTGGCTGCATAAATGCCTTCTTTTGAGATGTGTCTGTTCATATTCTTCGCCCACTTTTTGATGGAGTTGTTTGCTTTTTCCTGTAAATTTGTTTAACTTCTTTGTAGGTTCTGGATATTAGCACTTTGTCAGATGCGTAGAATGAAAAAAATTTCTCCCATTCTGTAAGTTGCCTGTTCACTCTGATGACAGTTTCTTTTGCTGTGCAGAAGGTTTTTAGTTTAATTAGATCCCATTTGTCTATTTTGGCTTTTGTTGCCATTGCTTTTGGTGTGTTAGTCATGAAGTCTCTGCCTATGCCTATGTCCCAAATGATATTGACTAAGTTTTCTTCTAGGGTTTTTATGGTTTTAGGTCTTACATTTAAGTCTTTAATCCATTTTGAGTTAATTTTTGTATAAGGTATAAGGAAGGGATCCAGGATCAGCTTTTTCCATATGGCTAGCCAGTTTTCCCAACACCATTTATTAAATAGGGAATCCTTTTCCCACTGCTTGTTTTTGTCAGGTTTGTCAAAGATAAGGTGGTTATAGATGTGTAGTGTTACTTATGAGACCTCTGTTCTGTTCAATTGGTCTATAGATCAGTTTTGGTACCAATACCATGCTGTTTTGGTTACTGTAGCCTTGTATTATAGTTTGAAGTCAGGTAGCATGATGCCTCCAGCTTTGTTCTTTTTGCTTAGGATTGTCTTCGTTATGTGGGCTCTTTTTTGGTTCCACATGAAATTTAAAGTAGCTTTTTTACAATTCTGTGGAGAATGTCAATGGTAGCTTGATAGGTATAGCACTGAATCTATAAATTACTTTGGGGAGTATGGCCATTTTCATGATATTTTTTAATACTCATAAAAGTGTGTGGACTCTTAATCCAAAAGATATACTAAGTAGCTGATATGGTTTGGCTGTGTCCCCGCCCAAACCTCATCTTGAATTGTAACTCCCATAATTCCCATGTATTGTGGGAGGGACCCAGTGGGAAAAAATTAAATCATGGGGGCAGTTTCCCCCATACTGTTCTCAGGGTAGTGAACAAGTCTGACAAGATCTGATGGTTTTATAAGGGGAAACCCCTTTCACTTGATTCTCTCATTCTCTCTTGCCTGCCACCATGTAAGATGTGCCTTTTGCCTTCTGCCATGATTGTGAGGCCTCCCCAGCCTCGTGGAAGTGTGAATACATTAAACATCTTTTTCTTTATAAATTACCCAGTCTCAGGTATGTCTTTGTGAGCACTGTAAAAATGAACTAATACAGTAGCTAATCAGCACAATGAACAATATGTAAGTATTGTCTGTAATTAGATTTGAAGTCTCCATGAAACATATTACCTATGTTCAATACCTTTGCTAAATCTTCTCACTTGAAAAATGCTTTATTCTAAATCATGGACTCACCACTTTGAGGGACAGTGATCGTATGGCTCTGACATGCATGGAGAAAGTTCCAGAAAACAAAAACAAAAAACAACAACAAAAAAAATGGATCTTGAATTTGACAAAGAGACAACTCTGTCCAGCTGTTATATAGCTAATGATTGCCTGACGGGTATCCCTAAATTGACAGGAGTAGGAGAGAATATTCTGCTTTCTCTATCTTTGCCCTCCCTCATCTAAGTTCCATTTGGTTTGTACTAGGATTCCTGTAGTAGTCTCCTGCCTGGCCTCCCGGTGGCCCATTTTTGTCCTCCTATCATTGGTTTTACACATTCCTAGAGTGAACTTTTAAGAAATGCAAATCAAATCTTGCTACACTTCTCAAAACACTCTGATGTCATCCCCCACACTTCAGTTGGATCCTGATGTCTTTCCATGGCCCAAAGGCCCTATGTACATGATCTGATCTGTCTCTCTATCATTTCCTGTAATTCTTCCTCTTGCTCCAACTCTTTCATTTTCTCAAAATGGCAAAAAACACTATGGTCTCACAGCATTTTTTACTATTTCCTCAAACTGAAATACTTTTCTCCAGAGACTTAGTGAATGGGGGGAGATATTAACTGAGTGGTTGTGAAATATGGATGGGAGGGAGATTTCCACTTTTTTGATGCATTATAAATTTCTGAACTATAAGACTGTATCGCACACTACAATTAAGCCAGAAAAAGAATTCATTATCATACGTATATATATTTTAGGTTAATTTGGGTGCAAACAAATTTGATCCAATTCTCCCAAAGTTCACCGCCTTGGAAATAACTTTTCTAAACACCCTACTTTCTTCTCTCATTAACAGGTATACTTTTCTCTATAGTAAAAATCCATTTGTAATGTTATGTTACATTTGTATTCATTCATTGTTTGTTTCTTCTACTTACAATAAGATCCATGAGGCTATGGCCTGTATTTGGTTCATCCATTTAGTATAGATAGGGCATGGAATTGTAAAGTGCATGAATTACATGATGCTTTTTCTTCACCTTGAACACATCTCTCCCCTCTAGGTTACAAATACACCCTCCAACAAAGCCCAGTTCATCTCTTTTCTCCTCCATATACCTTTCCCTGATGCCCCAAGATAGAAAAGCCCTTTTTTCAAAAAGATTTTTTAAGTTATACTTTAAGTTCTGGGGTACATGTGCAGAACATGCAGGTTTGTTACATAAGTAATCATCTGCCATGGTGGTTTGCTGCACCCATCAACCCACCGTCTACATTAGGTATTTGTCCTAATGCTATCCCTCCCCTACCCGCCCTACGCCAGAGAGGACCCAAATGTGATGTTCCCCTCCGTGTGTCCATGTGTTCTCATTGTTCGACTCCCACTTATGAGAATATGCAGTGTTTGGTTTTCTGTTCTTGTGTTAGTTTGCTGAGAATGATGGTTTCCAGCATCATCCATATCCCTGCAAAGGAGATGAATTCATCTGTTTTATGGCTGTGCAGTATTCCTTAGTGTATATGTGCCACATTTTCTTGATCGAGTCTGTTATTGATGGATATTTGGGTTGATTCCAAGTCTCTGCTATTGTGAATAGTGCCACAATAAACATACGTGTGCATGTGTCTTTATAGCAGCATGATTTATAATCCTTTGGGTATATACCCAGTAATGGGATGGCTGGGTCATATGGTATTTCTAGTTTACAATCCCACCAACAGTGTAAAAGTGTTCACATATGGTAAACTAGTTTACAGTCCCACCAACAGTGTAAAAGTGTTCCTATTTCTCCACATCCTCTCCAACATCTGTTGTGTCCTGACTTTTCAATGATCACCATTCTAACTGGCCTGAGATGATGTCTCATTGTGGTTTTGATTTGCATTTCTCTAATGACCAATGATGAAGAGTTTTCTCATGTGTTTGTTGGCTGCATAAATATCTTCTTTTTTT